GGGAGGTATAATTAGTGTCTTAAAATACCTGAAGGGTTGTTATAGGGAAGAGGGATTATATTTATTCTGCCAGAGGGCAAATTTTAGGATGAATAGATAGAAGCAAATTTTGACTCACCTTAAGGAAAAAATTCCTTGATATTAGAGCCATCCCAAGATGAAGGGGACTGCCTTGGGAGAGAATGAATTGGTTCTTTGTCCAAGAGTTGTCTGTCCTTATTGGAGATGGTTGTAGAATCCACTGAGGATTCAGGTTGGGGTTGGACTAGAGGTCCAACTAGAAGTCCCTTCTGTAATGATGGAGACCCACCCCCAGCCAATGGGGCTCATAGAACGAAGAGCTCAAGGCCATTCAGGTTGTCTCCCCGCTTTGAATACAAGATCTTGAGAGCGTTTTACTTTTGGTCTTTTTTTGAGTCACCAGCCCTTAGCACAGTGCCTGGTAGATAGTGGTTGTGGTTGTGGTTCACCATTTCCAGTCATGTCCAATTCTTCATGACCCCATTTAGGCTTTTCTTGGTAAAGATACTGGAGTAGTTTGTTATTTCCTGTTCCAGATCACTTTACAGATGAAGAAACTGAGGCAAAAAGGATTAAGTGACTTGCCTAGAGTCACAGAGCTAGTAAGTGTCTGAGGTCAGATTTGAATTCAAGAAGATGAGTCTTCCAAAATCCAGGCTCGGGGCTCTGTGCAGTATGGTGCCACCTAGCTGCCCCTGCCTGGTAGATAAAAGTGCTTAATAAATGCTTGTTGACTGACTTCTTTACTTGGCCACAAATTTTATTGTACTAGAATTTCATTGATTTCCCCCTTTCAATTCATCTTTATATAGGAAATAAGTCTACTTAGAATAAAAGTCCTTATAAGGAAATTCCTAGAGTGTTAAAGACAAGTAATCTCTTTATTGATGGCCCCTTAGGATTCTAGGCAATGTAGTACAGGAGAAAGAAGGCTGCCACTAAGTCAGAGGGCCGGGGTTTGATCCCAACTCTGCTCTTCCCCATATGACCCTGGGTAAGTCACTGCACCTCTGGACCTAGAAAATGAGGGGGCTGAGCTTGGTGGCCTCTGAGTTCTTGTCTAGTTCCAAATGCCACACACACCAACACACTTTTTTTAATATAATGAAGATGGACATGCTGCCCTTTAAAAAAAGTTACAAAGTAAAAGTTGTCAAAATGTTTCTGGTATTGGGCTAAAGCCTGAAATTTGGGGAAAGATGACATTTAATTGAGCCCTTCACAGAATCATAGAATGATTCACAGAATCAAGGTTTTAAATGCGTAAAATACAGGGGATTATAGAGGAAACCAATGATATTGAAATACAGTGATTGAAATATCAAAATCAGTCATTCATCAACTAGTGTTAATTAAGCAACTGTTATGTGTGATAGAACTGTGCTAAGCACTGAAGATACAAAAAAGGGCAAAAACCCAGTCCCTGCTCTCAGGGAGCTCATTATTCAGTAATGGTGAAGACCACATGCTAATAACTATGTACAAACAAACTATAAACAGGATATATCGAGGGCAGTCTCAGCAGAAAGGCGCAAAATTAAGAAAGGCATAGACCCCAGGTTAAGAATCCCCGGCCTAGAAGGTGTCTGAGGTCTCTTTCAGCTCTGATGAGTCTGATTCTATTATTAGAATAGCAATTCTGGAAATAGATTCACAACTTATCAAAATTTGAGGTATCGATGAGGTGAGAAGCAAAGCTAATTTTCTGAATGACAAAATCAGGATACAAAAAGGTTTGGTAGGGAAAGATGGGCCAGATCAAACAAGATGAAATTCCAGAGGGTTAACCATAAATAAAGTCCTGCCCTTATGCTAAAAAAGTCAATTTCAAATGGACTAGAAGGAAGGAGATTGACAGCAATTGTTCACATGACAAAGACTTAGAGATTTTCTCAGAATGTGAGCTTGGGACAACAGCTGGAGGTGACTCTGATGTTATGTTAAACCGTATTTTTTCCATCCAATTTTATTTTAATTTCAGAATTTTCCCCCTCCCATTCTCAATGAGAAGTCAAGAAAAATAAAACCATTACATATATGTATCATTAAGCAAAATAAATTTGCATATTAGCTATATCCCCCCGATCAGCAAAAGGAAGAGACAAGAAGTAGGAGGAGAAGAAGAAGAAAAGCTTTAATGTTACACTTTCAATCCATCAGTTCTCCATTTGGAGGTGGATAGCCTATTTCCTCATGAGTCCTTTGGAATTGTGTTGGTCATTGTGTTCATTAGAATTACTGAGTCTTTCAAAGTTGATTATCTTTATGGTAGTGTTATTGTGTAAACTGTTCTCCTGGTTCTGCTCATTTCACTTTGCATCAATTTGTACAGATATTTCCAGTTTCCTCATCTGTAAAATGAGTGAAACCATCCCTTTCATCATTTTTTTTTTTGCTTTTTGGTGAAGCAGTCGGGGTTAAGTAACTTGCCTAGGGTCACACAGCTAGTAAGGGTCAAGTGTCTGAGGATGGATTTGAACTCAGGTCCTCCTGACTCCGAGGCTGAAGCTCTATCCACTGCACCACCTAGCTGTCCCATCTTTCATCATCAACTGCACAATAGTATTCCACCACCATAATATACCATAACTTGTTCAGCCATTCCCCAATTGATGGGCACCCTGCCCTCAGTTTCCAGATGTTAGACTGAATTATGGAAGAATCATGTCCAGAACAAAAAAAGAGGCAGCTCAGTCATGTGTGTTCAGCTTGGGGGTGCCACACTTCAGATGGACATGTGTGTACTGAAATGCATTCGTGAGCTGGTCATTTAGGATGGTTGAGGTTTAGGAAGCCATCTCATATATTAGGAACAGCTGAATGAATTGGGGACATTTAGCCTGAGGAAGACAAAGACTGTCAGGGTTAGCTAAATATTTGAAGTGATGTCATGTGGAATGAAGGTCAAACTTATTCCATGGAGCTCCAGGCAACAGAGCTGAGACCAGTTTGGGTGGAAGGAGATGAACATATCTTGCCATTTTTTTCAGCCACAAAGCAAAAGTTAGCAAAACTTTATGGCATAGAGTTTCAGAAAATGGGGAATCATGGACTGGATCTAGGAAGCTGAAATTTTATGAGGATAAAGGGAGGCAGATCTTGGCTTCATTTTAGTAAGTACTTCCTAACTGGGAATGCTGTGCAACAAGGAGCCTTGTGAGGTGAAGTAGTGATTTGTATGCAAGTATTCAAGCACATATTGGATGACCTGCTGCCAGGGAAGTTGTTGGGGGATTTGTGCATCTAGAGAGAGATTGGACTATATGACTTCTAAGCTCCTTTCCAGTTCTTTAATTCTACAGCCCACCAGGAATTTCTTCCTCTTGGTCAGAAAGTAATGGGGAAATGCTGCTTCATTGCAATATTTGTTAGATTGTTTTCTGATTCCCCTCCAGAATTAGGTGGTATGACAGGTGTTGGACCATGCCTAAGGACCTGCTGTGTTCTGGGTGCTGTCCAAGGTGCTGGAGACACAGAGACAAAAACACAGCAGCTGTCTATTGACCAAAGAATTTACCTTCCAATGGGGGAAATGACAAGTACACAGATAATTGTTTACAAAAAAGTATGCATAGTAAATAGAAAGCAATTGTTTTGGGACCAAGAGCAGGAACAGCTGGAGGGAGGGGAAGGAGGTCAGGAAAACCCCTTTTCTGTAGGAGGCAGCCCTTGAACTGAGCTTTGAAGAAATCTGAGAGGGAGAATAATTCCATATTTGGAATGACAGGGTCTGCATTCAAATCTTAGCTTTGCCACTTACTGAACTGTGTGACCTGGACCAAGCCACTGCATCTGTGCCTCAGTTTTATCAGGGGCTTGGATTGGATGGCCTCCACGGTCTTTTATAGCTCTGACATACTATGAACATCAGAGATTAAAAAAAAAAGAAGACATAATACAGTAAACTTTCCCATAATTTTTTTAAGTTATGAAAAAAATGATCAACATGTTTTTTATTGGACTAAAACTGGAAAATGTGGTGATAAAGCAGTTGTGTCTTCACCAGTTCTCGTTTTATTTGGGGAAGGAAAATTAAAAAAAAAAAGATCAATTTGCAATTGTGACTCAGGGCCCAAAACTCCCTTCAAAGCTCAGATGATGGACCACCTTGTAAACGAAGCTTTCCTGAACTCCTCCCTTTTGTGAATGTTGACACTTCCCCCTCCCCCTTCCAATTCCTTCCCCCCCACCCTGCAAAATTGTGTTCACACATGTTCTCCCCTGAGACAATGTAAGCTAAGCCGGTTTCATTTCTGACTTTGCATCTTTGGTGTCTAGCACAGAGCGTGGCACATAGTAGGTGCTTAGTAAATGCTTGTTGGTTTTTGCACCTGTGGTCTATATGACAGAAGAGGGAAAGGAAAGAAACACGGTGTGATCACATAAATAGATTGAACTGCATTCAAAACGACATTAATGTCACTGATGCCACCTAAGGCATGTCGATTATTTCCAAAGGGGAGGCTTTGGACTGGTAGGTAAGAGCATGAGGTCATAGCTATGGAGCTCTAAGATGACCTTGGAAGTCATCTAATACAATGCTCACATTTTACAGATTAGGAAACTGAGGCTGAAAAGGATGAAGTGACTTGCTCAAGATCACACAGGCAAGTTGAGCATCAGAGGCAAGTTCTGAATTCAGGTTCTTTGTCTTCAGAGCCAGCGTGCTTTCCACTGCCCCACACAGCTTCTGATTTTTTTACAGTACTGCTAAAAAACAAAGAAGACTGAATTAGGCTCTGTAAAGTCTTGGATCTTTTAAATGAAAGTTGTTGCCTACTATTATTATTTTAAAACATTTTTGCCTAGTTTTTTTAAAAAACAAATTTGTAGTAATTTCACATTACAATATTTGACTCAGAGATGCTTTTCCTGAAATATCTGACAAAACAAGTTTGGTTTTTCAACACGGGGGCCAGGTCCCTACAGCGACGCATGACCCTTTGTGTTCTCACCTGTTCTTTCTGTGTTCCCCACAGGTAAATATGTGTATCAGCCCATGACCCCCGTAGAACAGCTTCCAAGCACCGAGATTCCTGCCAAACCCCGAGAGCCCACCAACACCATTCAGATCTCCGTCTCCCTCGTGGAACACTTCTTGAAATTTGCATCCGTCTTCCGGCCTCCCCTGCCCCGTGACTCCCCGAGGTATTGCACGATTTCCGACCTCTTCATCGACAGCTATCAAGTCAAGTGCATCAATGGAAAGATGTGCTATGTGCAGAAGCAGCCCCTGGCCCACCCCCACCCCACGAGCCCCGAGGAGGTCTCTGCACACGATGCCTTAATTTCAAAAGAGAGCAATACACCAAAAATAAATCACTGCTCTTCTCCTTCGACCTCTGAGGACTCGGGGATCAATGCGATTGGGGCTCACTACATGGAATCCTGTGATGAGGACACAGAGGAAGGGGCAGAGCTGAGTTCAGAAGAAGATTACAGTCCAGAGAGCAGCTGGGAGCCAGATGAATGCACCCTTCTGTCTCCGTCCCAGTCTGACTTGGAAGTCATCGAAACAATAGAAACCACCGTGTGAGACACTAGCAGGGAACCGCAGCACAGGGATTGTTGCTGGAGAAGCTTTGGCCACCACCTCTAATCCATTTCTCCCCTCCACCGCAGTGGACATTTTATACTGTGTCCCGAACCTCCGAGAACTTGTAACGCCCTCCGTGGGTCCCCTGGTTCGCTTCTCTGCCTGACAGAGCACTCTCTCTGAAGCTTATAATCACATTCTAGTTTTCTTACTTTACAGTTATGTTTGGTGTCCCACGTTGCGGCCCTCTCTTATTTAGTCATGATTACAAAGCATCATGAAGACTTTTATAAGAACTCCTTGAGTGCAAAGGAGACATTGTGTATCCTTTACATGGTCAGCCTTCTGGCCTCATCTCGCTACTTATCCACGATGTGATCCCAGTAAATAGCCATTCACCCTGCCCTCTTCATCCCCAAAGCTAGTTCTATTCTAGCCAACCTGTTTTGTTCCAGTCACTCCTCCCTCCCCCAAAGGCCATGTTGGTTTTCAAAGTGGCACCAAGATGGTGTTGGGGGCCTAGAGCCAAGTCCCGTATCTGCCATAGTAGAGACCAGCCATAGCTGGTCATTGAGCTAGGTCCTGACCAGCTCCTGGAGAGGTAAGAGGGACAGTAGAAGGTGGATATCTGGGATAGACATCTGTTCCCCTGGCTGCAATCCATACATGTCACCTCATGTTCCATATGGGAATATGGGGGTGGGGGAGAGCCCTGTCCGGACCGCTAGTGTCCCAGCAAGAACCACATTTGTCTTCTTGACCAAGCAGAACACATATCCTTAGAGTAATATAACCCTAGTCTTTGCTAATTTTGGAGAAAGTGGACAGTGGTGAATCTTAAATCTTTGTATATTTCTAAGGGCTTGGCTGCCCAGTATCATCCTGGCCTCTCTCTTCTTTCCCCTTAAAATCTTGGGAAGAATTTTTAGGAAGCTGTTTAGGTGCACTTAGCTTTCATGATTCATAGATTCACAGAGGTCAAAAGGGCCTTAGAAGTCACCAATCTAACCTCCTGCATTTGATGGATAAGGAAACAGAGGCTCTGCTTTGGCAAAGCAACCGGCCCAGGTCACAGCTATTTAATGGCAGAACTAGTCCCAGGGCCTTTCTTCTGCCCCCTATTAGAATTTATCCATGAAATGTAAAATGAATAAGCCTAAGTGGGCACAGCCATGAGGAGGTGAGGAATGAATCCCAGAGGGCTGATCTAACCCTACTTCATTGGATAATAATGGGAAGATTGAAAACAGCTTTGGTGAAATTAAGACAAAGCAGTTTGATGCATGGAATTTTAATGCAAATTCTAAAACCATTAAAATTGTGTTCTGAGAATTCAATCTAACTCCTTTCTGTTGAGCAAACATTAATTAACTTAATTTAAGGCCCACTCTAGGTGAGACACTGTTAGGTGTCAGGGATACCAGATGAAAACCAACGGTCCCTTTCTTCATGGAACATATTGTGTCCTGGGGGAGGGGGGTTGTATTATGTAGATAGATAAATGTAATGCAGGGTAAGGTGTGAGGGAGGCAAAGTGATCTATGAACATTAGAGGAGGAAGGAAGTATGGAGGGAAGATCAGGGAACGCTTCATGGAGGAGGTGCATTTGGGCTGAGCCTTGAAGGAAGACCATAGAATGTTAGTGCTGGCAGAGAACTTAGAGACTAGCTGGTCTAAACCCCTCATTTCACAGAATTAGAAACTGAGGCTCAGAGAAGGAAAGAGATTTGCCTATGAGAGAGATTTAGACAGGCAGAGGTGCATGTGAGGGTATTCCAGGCATAGGGAACAGCCTATGGTAATGTCAGGAAGTGGGAGATGAGCAGGACGAGATTGAGAAGCTGAGTTTAGCTAGAATTCAGTCAGTGGAATGGAGTAAAAGGAAAAAAAAGACTAGAGAGGGAGGCTAGAGCTAGGTGGTGGGAGGGCCTGAAATGTCAAGCTAAGAAGAAAAGATTTTATGAAATACTCTTACATTTTTTCACTCACGTATTATTCATTTTTTGGTATGCTTTCTCCCCCTGCAAGAATAGCCATAGAGTTCAAAGAGAATTTCTATTTTAATTTCTGTTCCTTCAAAGAAACTTTGAAGTTTCTTCCCAATAGCCTTTCATATAAAATATTTGTCATTTCTCCATATTGGTCAAGAATTGGAGAAATTTCTAACATGGCGTCAGTGGCCAGAGGATGGATGATCACTGTTGACAATGGGGAAGCATTCTTTGGCCTCGTCTCTTCTGCCACAGTACAGACCAGCCATACCTGGTCATTGGGCTAGGTCCTAATCAGCTCCTGGAGATGTAAGAGGGGCAGTAGAAGGTGGCTATTTGGGGGAGACATCTGTTCCCCTGGCTGAAATCCATACAGGTCACCTCATGTTCCATGTAGGAATACAAGGGTGGGGAGAGCCCTGTCTGGACTGTCCCAGCAAGAGGCGCATTTGTCTTCTTGACGCATATCCATAGAGTAATATAATCCCTAATATAACAGGCAGTTCGGGACCACCTGAGCAGGGGTTCATCAGTATTCAAGTCTCTCTCTCTCTCTATCTCTCTCTCCTCTCTCTCTCTCTCTCTCTCTCTCTCTCTCTCTCTCTCTCTCTCTCTCTCCTCTCTCCTCTCTTTCTCTCTCTCACTCTCTGTCTCTCTCTCTGTCTCTCTCTCTGTTTCTCTGTCTCTATCTCTGTCTATTTGACTCTCTCAATTTTATGTCAGTTTCCATTTTAAGAGACGAGAAAATGTCTGTGGTTTTATCCTCATTTTCCATTAAGTTTTTCTTCCCTTCTAATTGTTACTTAAAGGAATCTCAGATGTTAACTAATGTAACCTCCCCCCTCCCATTTTACAGGTGAGGAAACTGAGGCTTATAACTTCTCTTCTGGTCAAAGATTTCTTAGAGGTCATCCAGTCCAACCCCCTCACTTTTACAGATGAGGAAACTGAGATTCAAAACTCCTGCCCTCTCCCCTCTCCTTTCCCCTCCCTTCACTTCTCTTCCTCTCCATCTCTCCCAGAACTCTGCTTTCTGAGCTTCATGAACACCATTCATTCTTTCTGTAAGCCAGCCACCACCATTCCAAGGAAAAATCCACTAGGTCCTTCAGGCACCAAGGCCTCGGCAAGGCTTGGAACTGGATTCCTTCCTTTCCTGATTACAGAGGGTGGGCTCTTGCCCAATCTGCTTTGATGCTCACAACGGCCTTGTATAAGAGGAAAACAGCGGGGTAGGAAGAAAGAGAGGCTGTTTTCCTTTGAAACCAGTATTAATAAGACCTTCCTCTATTCTATCAGAGATGCAGCCAAAACCTCCCACTGCTGTGTCCAGTGGCCCAAATGTTTGCTGTTTGCTGCCTAGAAGCATGTCATAGGAAAGGAGGGATCCTGTAGATTGTGTGATAGTGCCGCTCAGGGCTGGAGCCAGGCTCTGAGATGTAGCCAAGCAGCTGACAGGCTCTGTCCTGGTGGAAAAAGCATACCAGGAGTCAAAGGAGACCTGGATTCAAAGTCTGCCTCTGGTTCTTACGAGCTGTGCAACTCTGGGGCAAGTCACTAAACTCTCTGAGCCTCAGTTTGTCCATCTATAAAATAGGGATGAAACCAATAGCACCTACCTCACAGGATTGTTGTGAGGTAATAAAAATAAGGTATTTTCAGCAGATGTTAAAGTGTTCTGTTAAGGTCAGCTATTAGTACTTCCTCCCTTAGAGCTGGCTGCCTGTAAAAACAAGCAAGAGCTGTCCTGCTGTGACTCTGGAGCCTGAGACAGATTTCTGCTGGCCACATAACCTGCCTCCCTCACAACTCTCTAGTCACACCTGGGGCACTTCTGGTCTCTGGGGCAAAACCCCGCTCAGCTCTGAGTAACCTTGCCAACTAGCCTCTGAAGAGCTGTTAGCCCACATGCCCATGCCAGTGAATGGTATGGCAATATTGTGGGCATCACCCCACTACTGCTTACACTAGAAGGGACCTCAGAGGTCAGTTCATCTAGCCAGTGCCTCATACCCTGGGCCATCAGTAGCCACCTGGCCCCCAAAGGGGAGCCAGCTACCTGGCCTTCAACTGACAAGGTAGACTACAGCTGGAATAGAAAGAAGAAACACACACATACACACACACACACACACACACACAACCAAACAATGTTGCTAGTTCTGGGTCACACGTGGACTTTAGGTTAGTCCGGCAGCTGACCTATCCTAGATTGGAAATATTTGAGACTCATACCTGAGTCCCTGGTTTTAAACACTTTTACTGCCAGAGAAACCAACCACATTTTTGACAATGCGGGTTGGTTTTGTTTTTTGTATTTTTATTTTTGTTTTTTATTTTTTTTGTCTGAATAGGAGCGGCCAACAGTCACATGAAACATCGGCACCCAGTCTTTGTGGAATCCAAGTTCACTGAGGTTCCCATGGTCTTTTTACAAACATAAGGCATAATTGGTCAGGGATCAATTTCTCCTCTCTACATAACGTTGGAGAAAAAGCCTGTGATCCTGGTTGTCAGACACAACTAGGTCCTCAAACATCCTAAATATACCTTTTAAATAAGCACAATGCAAAGATTGTTTTCCCTGGGTCCAATCACTGTGTTAAGAATTCTCCCATGCACGGGGAGAAGGGGCTCGGGTTCCAGAGGCAAGTGACCTGAGGACACATCCAAGTGTGTATTCTAGGGCTAACCTTGAAGCCCTTTCTGTTCTGTATTGCATGAGAAACCTTACCTCTGTATTCTTAATACTACAGCGCTAATTTGTATAAACCTATTTATCGGCACTTTAGAAAACCTTTAGTCTGTAGGAACAGACCACAATTCACGATCTTGATGCCACGTGGGGAGATCAGAGAGCTAAGCAGTTTGGGTTTCTTTGGGTGGGAATCCAGGATTTTGCCAGTTGGCAGGCAAAAGGCTGAGGCTGGGTGGGTTATTTCCTGTGGCTTCTGCAAAGACCTTTGGTCTCCTGCTTACCAAGCTGGTACTAAAGCTGTCTGGTGGGAGATTATAAAGAAGCAATAATATGTGAGTTTTATCTTTTTAAGTAACCTCAGCCTGTTTTTAAATTTCTGAACAGTTTGCTCATAGCTTTTGTAAGAGAAAATGATAATGGAGAAGTGGGTTACCACTTCTTTCCTAGTAATTAATTCTTAGATTCAATTAAACACATTACAATTCACCAAGAATTGATTATCTACTCTGTGCCAAGCACTGTGCTAGGCTGGGGATACAAAGACAGACAATGTATTCCCCGTCAGCAAGGAGCTTACGTTCGATTGAAGGGAAGGACACAAACACAGCTAAATAAATACAGAATAATTCAAAGTAAATACAAAATAATTTCAAAGTGTGGGTGGATGGGGAAACACCAACAAGTGGGGATGGAGAGAAGTCAGGAAAGGCCTCTTGTAGGAGGCATCAGGGACATTTATTAAGTGCCTGCTGTATATGTAAGGCACTGTCCTAGGCACTGGGTATATAAGATGGAGATGACAGTATACTTCTCTCAATACTTTACAGGGTAAGGACAATGGGGTTCCCCGGGAACACGATTAATACAAAAGAGGCAGAGTCAGGGTGATATAATGGATAGAGAGCCTACCTCTTCCCCTCCCCCAACCCAAAAGACCATTTTGGTTCTAAAGGTGATGCTAAGATGATTCTGGGGGTCCTAGAGCCAAGTCCAAGACTGGAGTCACTAGAGCTCGGGCTGCCACAGTACAGACCAGCCAACTTTGGAGTCAAGAAGATCTAGGTTCCAATTTTGCCTCTGAAACAGCCTGGTTTGTGGGACCCTGGGGAAGTCATTGAACTCCAGGAAACTCTAAGAGTATAAATTGCAGAAAAGGTACAAAGGGGGTTCCCTCATCTGGGGGCTCCCTATGCCCGTGAAATTGAATAAAAGGACAATGTAATGGAGAGATCCAAGTAAAGCACTTTGAGAAATTTGAAGATGGGGTGGGGAAATTTTTTGCTTGGGGAGGAGGGAGAGAGAAACGTCCTAGAAGGGACAATATCTGAGTTGAACCTTTAAAGAAGAGGGTGGGTGGGGTGCAGAGGGACAGATCTTCAATAGAGACTGGAAAAAACTGAAAACCTCCCCTATTGCTTCATATGTACACATGTATTACTAATATGTGCACATGGTTAGTACTTTTGTAGAACAACAATAAATAACAATAATAATGCTTTGAAACCATACCTGGTATTTTTGTCGTTGAAATGAGAATTTGAGAGAGCCTGGATGCCGCCTTGAACCATTGGTTCAAGCTTGACAGAGATCCAAACCCCTCCCCTCTCCAATGCAGCGGCAGTGCTAAGGCACCCTTTTAGTC